AAGAAGTTTTATTCACTACAGGAAATTTTCTTCAGTAATGAAATTTAAAGCACAAATTCAGTTTTCTGTTTTTTTTTAATTGTCATTATCTGTCTGATTTCCGCCCTCCCCCCCCCCAGTTGAAAATCCAGGGAGGAAGGAACATAAAGGAGTGAGTGAGAACCTTATTGCTAACTGACAACTGTTCCTGCCAAGTACCAAGAACTTGGGTGAAGCAGGATGCTCATAACAAGAGGCTTTCAGAGTATTTCTCAAGCTTTAATTCCTAAATCCTAGCTGGATGATCAGGAAGCTCCTCACTAGATGGAAGTGTCTGCTTTGTTTCTGATGCCTGTAAATAGTTCTTTGGGAAATGCACTTATTAGAGGAAATATTCTTCACCTCTCTGCTTCTGGGCTGCCACTGTATGTTTTGATGCCATGGCTCTCTCTAGGGGCTGACACTGTTTCTGACATCCGGAGAAGTTCCACTGGGTATGGAGAAGTGTGATGAATGCTTTTAGAAAATGGAGATCAGGAAGTGGGTTTATGAAGGTTTAATAAGTAAGTTTCAGCTGTCACTTCTCTCATCTTTTGCAGTGAAATCATGATTTCTTTCATTATTTCACTACCATGAAAAAAGCAAAATAGGTGTTTTGTCTGAAGCGCCATTGGCAGGCGCTCTACACATTCTTCAGAGTCCTCCTGCTAGAGCAATGCTCTTTTCTCCTATTTTGCCTGCATTTGGTTATGGGAACAAGGAGGCCATACCTCTGCGCTGCACCAACCAGATCTGTTGCCAGCAACATATCATCACTGTTGAGAAATGGTAAATGCATTTTAACTAGAAGAAGGCAAGGAGTGAACTGCATTTTTAAACACAAAATACCCTGCATATGTAGTCATTGAAACAAAAACTCTACCCAAATAATTATGCTGCAGGATTTGTAGCTATGCAAATGTACTTTTCACTGAAAAATTGTCAGTGGTGGCAACTGGTAAATCTCTTCCATAGAAGATTCTTCCTTTCTCATTTAGAACTCGCTCATTGTTTCCAGAGAGAACTGAACGCTCTGAAGTCAGTATATGCTTTTAGACAAGAAACAGAGATATACTATTGCAGCTCCTGATACAGAATCAAATGTGCTGCTTCCCTTTCTGTACTGTCAGGAGTGCAAAATCTTGTATATTTGCTTATAAAAAGCATACTTCTTAGCTGTTGTTGGCTAAACTGAAAAGACTCAAGGTAGCAATGCATTTCCCAGATTTTTGTGTATTGATGGAGCAACAAAATGTATTTTGTACTAAATACAAAACACTTCTAAATGTAAAATAGTGTATGTATCTTGTACTTTGTTTAAAGGTTCTTCCCAAACTACACTGACAAAAGAACCCTTCTGTTCTGAGAACTGTCCCTCCTCGTGTGTTTACCAGCTCTACCAAGAACCAAGCTTTAATTTTTGCTCCAAATCAGGTAACCATTACATGCAACTCAAAATGAAAAAGAGGAGGAGCTGAAAGGAGGATTATTGGTAGGGTTAAGAACAGATATAAATCTATGTGTTTGGAAGAGGAGAGAACATAGCAAGGTTTTTAAGACTTAAGGCACAATCACAGATTGGTCATATAGGCAATCTCTAGATGAGATGAGGCCTGTCACATTGTCTGTTCTTCTGGGAAAATTGCAATGAATGTGAAGAGAAATGCAACCCATCGTGTTTCCTGGCACAGAATACCATCCTTCTTACTGATCAGAAAAGGTGTGAGGGGGAGAGGGCTTTCTATGCTCATCTGTCTTCTCTACATCTGTCTTGAGCATCTCAAGTCCTATGTGATGGACTAATGATTTTTCAACCCTAATCCTTTGAGATAACTCCAGGTTTTGGAAATTATTGCAAAATTCTTGGTCAAGCTCAAATGGGTCGCAATTCTCTCTATCGTCTGTTTCTCTGCCACCAACTCTTCCTCACCGGTCAGTTGGTAACTGCAGCCAGTTGTCACACCTTTTGCCTCTGGAAATCTGTATGCAGGGCAGCTGGTCTGGCACAGAGAGTATTGGCTTGTACCTTCTGCCAACCTCTCCTAGCAACTCCTTTTACCCATTCAAGAGACTCCCCACAATTGCCACACTGTGGAAAGACCATGAAAGTCTTTAAAGTATTTCAAAAAAATTGTTAAGTTGTAGAACATCCTCCCCTGCAGTGTCTCTGTTGGAAAGAAGGGTGTGCCAGCCTGCTCTCTGCTCTGGGATGACATACGCCACCAAGGCAAGGCCTAATGAAGTCCTTGGTTCTAGTCAGTCATATATAGAAAGTAGCATAATGTTTAGAAAATATTTCATTAATGTCTGTGGGGGAGGAGATGTCAGCGTCTGCCCTCCTAATTGGAGCTGAGATGTAATGACTCTTTATATAACCAAAGATAATTAAGTGTCCTAGTCAGCCCTATATACTCAAACATAGATACTTGCCTCATTTCCACAATGAATCAGGGAGGAAAAAAAAGTTTTACTCAATTTTTCACCTTTTCTTAACTAGTCACAAGTACGTTCCTGTCAGACTAGCATTTACAGGAGGGAAAAGAGGAAGAGTAAATATGTAATCAAGAAAATCCCCATGGAGCACTTCAGTCAATGTCAGGCACAGTTTTAGCAAGAGTAATCCAGCAAGAATGTGCACAATAACACATCATTTGACATTGTGAAAAGCATGACAAAGGAAAAGGAAGGATTAATATGAATTCTTGCTGAAGCCTTTGATGTAAATTATTACAGTTCCAATTTCACCTTAGCGTCATAGTTGCTCACCTATACCTGTAATGACTTGCTTTAAAGGGGTTGGATCAAGATAACAGAAATGAGTTTGTCCAACAATGACACTGAGAAGGGCAGAGGATAAAGAAATAATCTGTGAGGAAGTACATGTCATACTGCCTACTTTTCGATCTTTAAAAAGATATTTTTATCAGTCTTCACAGCGTAATGTGAAAACCGGGTTGCCTGGGAAGGCAGGAAGGCCTGCAACTTCTGCTTTCAATTTTTGCCTTTTTGTGGTTTAATCCAGTAGAATGTGAACAGCAGTGAGAAGTACCCATATGTGCACAAGGGAGCAAGCAGTAATGCAGACAGTGTAAAAGGCAGCATAGAAGACATCGAAGCTCATGTATTACTGAGTCAGGAGAGTCATCCTCATTTTGGAGGATGAACCCATAAGAGCTACATGAGGAGCTACATACGGCAGCTAAATTAAAATGAGCCCTTCTGATGGCTTAGGCTGGACCTGGACATAAAATGTCACCAAAGCATCCTGCTTAGGTGATGCTGTTTTCTGTAAGGTTTCTTGGTTCTCCTGGCCTTTTACCATGTTCCTGGTGCGTAGGTCATTCCCCATGGTGATGTTCAGTCCTGTCAGTGGTGATCTGTGGTGTCACCAACCCCTATGACCACAGCACAGTGGCTCCTCTTTGCATGGGGCGCTTATTTCTAGGGGTGCCGGTGCTGCATGTCTGCCTGCTTATTGTCCATTCAAAAATGCCACAGAGCTAAATGTTCATTTTGGAGATGTGCCCTGACGTGTCTCCTCTAAAGAGCAGAGAGGGAAGCAGAGAGGAGTATAACATACCGGAAGAATGTTTGCTTCCATTTGAGTGCTGAGCACAAGAAGGAGGGTTCCTGGCTCAGTGGTCTCTGCCCATTTCTGTGACTATTTGCTTGTTTGCTGAGAAATGACTTACAGCCCATGTGAGACACAAACATCCCTTTATCACGCAGCTTGTATCACCCTAATGGAATTCTGTCAGCTGAGGATAAAATGTGGACTAAGAAAGCAATTATAGAGTGAATCTCCTAGCTGCAGGAAGAGCTGGGACATGGGGACAGAGTGCCCAGCTGGAGTAATTTCCTGTCCGACTGGCCTCTAAATCTTGCTGGGAAGAGATCAATTTTCCACCCTTGTCTAATAGCATCAGCTCCAGTCACCCTGGCTCAGGACCCTGTTAAGTGCTGCAGTGTTGAGATCTAGGCACAAAAGGAAACATTTGCAATTTGTGACTTCTTTCTTACTGACCTCGAAATTACTGGAAAAGGTGAAAACAAGGCTACAGACCTTCTGCCTGATGGCTCTCTAATGTTCCCTTTATTAGCCTCTGATTGAAGGAGAGGACTGACCACCCTAATGATCAGCAGGGTAGGAGTCTCCCAGCCTGGGCTATTGCTTCCAACACTGCACAGTCCTCCACCCACAGCTCTCTGCTTTGGCTCTAATTAGGAGAGGAAAACCACCACCTCATGATCTGCTAGAAGCCTTCCCCAGGTATGCTGTTTGTTTATGGAAGGTCCCAATTATACAGTTGAGACCACAGTGAAATCCTGCCTTTAGCTTTCAACTCACTCAAGATCTCTTTGGTGTGACTAAAATCAACTTGATTCACAAATTCTTAGTGTGCGTCTCTGCTCTATTGCTCATGGGACTTCCAAAAATGTCAGCATGCAGAGATTTTGTGCAGTTTTCCCAAGAGGAGGGCATTCTGGGGAACCATAAACCTAAGGAGAGATCTCAGACAGATGCAGTTAACTTGTGCTCAACTTCTTCCTCTTACTCATATGTGATCTGTTGTTTCAAAGCTCAGTTGCTTGTGTTCCTTAGCTTATCCAGATCTTGTGTCTGAAGTCCTTTGGGATCCCCCAGCGTCACTCTTTTTCCTGAGTAGCATTAAGGCCCTAGGGAGATCTGCACCTTGGTCATCTGCTCGTGCTTTGAGAATAAGGGTG